GTGCCTGTAATCCCAGCTAATTTTTTGTAGTTTTAGTAGAGACGGGGTTTCACCATGTTGACCAGGATGGTCTCGATCTCTTGACCTCATGATCCACCCGCCTCGGCCTCCCAAAGTGCTGGGATTACAGGCTTGAGCCACCGCGCCCGGCCGGAATGAGTTTATTCTTTATCACTGCTACACAGCATCATTCCATCATATAAATATGAAAGGGGAATATTGTTATGGTAGAGTGTGTTGAAGAAGGTCTTGTATCCTTCCCTGAAACGAGATCAGGAATTCTGAAATGGCACTGCCTCCACTGCTGTTCTTTGTTTATGCCACAATTTTTCTACCCAGCTTCCTCTTGATAGACAATTGAGAGATTTCCAGGTTTCAGCTGTTATGGATATAGCTGCTATGAAAACCCTGTGCATGTCTTGTAGTGGCCACATGCCCTCATTTTTCTGGGGTATATACTAGGGAGAGACGCTGTTGTAGCAAAAGGTAGGCATGTTTTCTGTTGCTGTCCATATAACCAGGCAGCTAACCTGGGCACCTTCACTAGGGTGCACCTACTCCCACCCTGGCACTTACTGGGTCAGCATGTCTCCACTGTCTTGGCTTTTCAGGAGCTAGCCAATCTCCCCAATTAGGATGCACAACCCTTGAGGGCAGGCACCCATGTCACTCCTTCCTTTATGAGTCCTGGTCCCTCCTCCAGGAAAGAAATCTCCAGCAGAGACAGCTGTCCAGTAATGATCAAGGGTCCCAGCCTAGCCAACTCCCAGTCGCCATGAAGAACACCAGTCACCAGAGGGACCCCAAAAATCTTTGACCATTGTGAAAAATGAGCTAGACTTGGTTTGTTCTTGGAGATGGCTCCCTGGCCATCTTGTACTGCATCCACTAGCTGCTATTTCCTAGCAAGGCAGAGAAATCCTTTAGCTGTAACACATCAGTTGTTCATAGTGACATGTCTCCTTCAGACCTTTAAACAACTAACTCCTCCCTACTCTCATCATTTTTTTGAAAAAAACAGTTTCAAATAATCTGGCAGAAATGTTTTCCAGAGCAAGACACTTACCTGAGCATTGCATTGGACTCTCTAACCACCTGGGCTATCTGAAACTTCTGAATCTTCTGCTGACATAGGAGATTGTGCGCTTTGGTCCACCTAGAAACAGACACCCCACAAAACCCCACATTCAGGTCACTCAAGTAAATCAATCATCCTTTCCCTTTACAGAGCCAAGTCCTCTCTGATAGCATTACCGACAGAGGCCTCATCTTTTTCCACAGAGCCACTTCTTGAAGGATGTTAGCTGTCCTTAAAAGGAAGAGAGTGGCCGGGCATGGTGGCTCATGCCTGTAATCCCAGCACTTTGAGGGGTCAAGGCAGGCAGATCACCTGAGGTCAAGAGTTTGAGACCATCCTGGCCAACATGGGGAAACCCCATCACTGATAAAAATACAAAAAGTAGCAGGGCCTGGTGGCACACAACTGTAGTCCCAGCTACTCGGGAGGCTTAGCCTGGAGAATCACTTGAACCCAGGAGGTGGAGGCTGTAGTGAACCAAGATTGCTCCACTGCACTCCAGCCTAGGTTACAGAGTGAGACTCCATCTCAAAAAAAAAAAAAAAGGAAGAAGATGAAGAGAATGAGAAAGCAACCCAACAGAAACAAGTGGGGGGCAAGCTGACTGCTTAAGTCGAAACTCTTCTGAATCCCTTCCTCCGTGACCCCTCTATCTGGAGAACTGGGGCTCTGTCCAGTGATGACAGTTGCTGTGGTTTGAATGGGTCCCCCAAAGTTCATATGTTAGAAACTTGATCTCCAATGTGGAGGTGTTGAAAGATGGGGCCTAATGGGAGGTGTCATGGGGGCACTGTCCTCATGAATAGATTAACGTCATTATCACAGATCTTTATAAAAAGAATTCCTCTCACCCGGCGGGGTGGCTCACGCCTGTAATCCCAGCACTTTGGGAGGCCGAGGCGGGCAGATCACGAGGTCAGGAGATTGAGACCATCCTGGCTAACACGGTGAAACCCCACCTCTACTAAAAATATAAAAAATTAGCCGGGCGTAATGGCATGTGCCTTCCAGCTACTTGGGAAGCTGAGGCAGGAGAATCACTTGAAACTGGGAGGCAGAGGTTTGAGTGAACTGAGATTGCCCGACTGCACTCCTGTCTGGATGACAGAGCGAGACGTCTCAAAAAAATAATAATAATTCCTCTCTTTCCCTTTCTCTCTCCCCACTCTCTTTGCCTTTCTACAGTGAGGTAATACAGCAAGAAGGCCCTTGCCAAATGTCAGCCAGTCCTTCAAATTGGACTTCCCTGCTTCCAGAACTGTGAGCCAATAAATTGCTATTCATTATAAATTACCCAGTCTAGGCTGGTGCAGTGGCTCATACCTGTAACCTCAAGACTTTGGGAGGCCGAAGTGGGAGATCGCTTGAGCTTAGGAGTTGAAAATAGCCTGGGCAACATGGTGAGACCCCATCTCTACAAAAAATAGAAAAAATGAGCTGAGCATGGTGGTGCGTGCCTGTAGTACCAGCCACTTGGGAAGCTGAGGTGGGAGAATCGCTTCAGCCCAGGAGGTCAAGGCTGCAGGGAGCCACAATCATGCCACTGGACAACAGAGAAAGATCTTGTCTCAAAAAATAGAAAAAATATGTAAATTACCTAGTCTGTTATTCTGTGACCACAGCACAAAAACAGACTAAGACCAGAGTCACTTCCACAAAGCACTTATCCCCCAAAACCAAGGGTCTTTAACTTATTCCAAGGATTCTCTGAGTGTCTCCACTCCAGCAGCAGCCACAGGAGCCCTGGGTTCATCTGAAAGGTGTGTTCCAACAGCTGGACTAACAGCATTAAGTTAAGCCCTCAGTGAAGTAAGGGAGCCTGTCATCTCATCAAGGGTCTGGAAAAATATGCCCCTCTCAGCCCACTCCATCTCAAGGGCCCAGAAGCTTTTCTCCACCACCATCACTCACCATTCCACCATATGAGGTAGCTTCTCCTTGATGGTCCGGTGTGGGTCGATCTCAATTGGGTAATAGTGGTGAAGGAGCGCTGTAAGCTGGGATATTCAAATGGGGAGAAAGGCCATTAGTCTACATCAAGTTCTCCCCAGCAAAGTCAGCTTACTATGAGAAAAAGGTCACCCAGAAGAGGCAACTTTGTGGCTGGGTGTGGTGGCTCACACCTGTAATCCCAGCGCTCTGGGAGGCTGAGGCAGGTGGATCACTTGCTGTCAGGAGTTCAAGTCCAGCCTAGCCAACATGGCAAAACCCTGTCTCCACTTAAAAAATAAAAAAATTAGCAGGTGTAATGGCATGCGCCTGTAATCCCAGCTACTCAGGAGGCTGAGGCAGGAGAATTGTCTGAACCCAGGAGGCGGAGGTTGCAGTGAGTCAAGATCGCGCTATTGCACTCCAGCCTGGGTAACATGAATGAAACTCCGTCTCAAAACAAAACAAAACAAAACAAAATTAAAAAAAAAAAAAAAATCCCAGGTACTCAGGAGGCTGAAGAATGAGAATCACTTGAACCCAGGAGACGGAGGTCACAGTGAGCCGAGAGCAGAGATCGCACCAATGCACTCCAGCCTGGGCAACAGAGTAAAACTATGTCTCAAAAAAAAGAAAAAAAAAAAGATGCAACTTCATGTAAGAGTGTTACATGAAATTTTCTTGAAGTTTTCCTTTGGAGGCATGTCATTTATAAGACCTAAGTTTCTCTTCTCTTACTATCTTCCAACATAATTGCTCAATACACTCAAATTTTTACCTATTTGTACCTGGACCCACAGAACTGGTCATTCCTTTGCACTCACCCTGCAAGTGAGGGTTGCTTGAGCTCAGGAGTTCAAGACCTGCCTAGCAA